TTTCTGCAACTTAAACCTCCTTCAGAAAAGCAAAAGCGTCTCCCAAACCACCAATGCCACCTCCTGTTCAAACAGATGAGGGCAGCAAAAGATAAAGCACTTGTTGCCAATGAAACACAAGGATACAAAGACAGGAAAACCAGAGCAGGTAAGCAAAGAGAAGCAAGTCCTACGTCACCCCACTGGTCAGAACGGGTCTTACTTTGCCAGACTGTTGTGAGCTTCAACATAGATCTCCTGTGCCATCTCTGGGAAAGTTTTAGTGCTGAAATTTGGATCGTGATCCTTTACCTTCCGCAGGCTGAAAAGACAAGAAAAAGCTCTGAGCAAATGCAAAATGTCTTCTGTGCGTTTCGGACGATGACGACTGCATTACCCAGCTGTGGTGCAAGACAAAATTGAGCAAAACTTCAGCACTAGAGACTAATTGAAAAGGAGGTACATACGCTAACTGAGAGGCAGCAGTCTGCTTCAGCTTCTCCATTCTTTGCTTCAGCCCATCTTTGGACAGGGAAGTAATGCGGGCATCGCCCTCAGGAGGGACGTAAGGGTCTATGATACTGGCTGCATGAGAGAAGGGAGGTCAGGAGGGGAATCAGGGAGACAAAGAGGCAGCGCCTTGGTTGCTGGGGGTGGAGAAACAGGATTGAAAACATTTGTAGGATGAAATAGGAGCACTGGGACAAATAATGGGGGCACCTCTCACTGCTGACAGGCTGTGCTACTGCCTGCTCTCACTGCCTGCAGCCCTGAGGTACGAGGATAAGGCAATCAGCAGCAGGGAGCACGGCCTCCCATGCTATTCCTGGTCCCTAAGTACAAAGGGGCCAACAGGAGACACAGGGCTGACAGCACCAGGGCAGCTGCTATCACTCCCCCGGGGCAGAGCAAGTCATTCAGTTTGCTGCATGCAGATAACTGTCAATGCAGTCACAGCACTTCTAGTCTGCCTTAGTTGTGCCCGTTAGAAGAGACCAAAGCCAAGTGCCACCTGTGCAGGCCAAGTAGAAGGCCCGTTCCATGCGATCCTCAGGAAACGTTCTGCCCAAGGACTGCAGCCTCTTCTCCTTCTCTTCAGGGGGCAGCTCCCGGGCCCATTCAGGGACAAAAAGTCTCCGCTTCGTCCTCACAGGGACAACGAGGCAGGCTGGAATGGCTCTGGGGGGATGGAGCAGTGATTCCATGGCCTAAGGGAGAAACAACAGAGCACGGGCTGAGCCCAAAGGTCAAGAAACAACACCAACACAGTGAGAGATTTCACCTCTTGCCTCCAGAGCACAGAAATGTCATCATCACCTCACACAGAACTGGGCTGGGAGACAGAAACCACAGCCAAGGGAACGGGGGGAAAAGGGGAAGGGGGAAAAGGGGAGCAAGGAGAAAGGGAAAGGGGGAGAAGGGAAAGGAGGAAAGGGGAAGAAGGGGAAAGAAAAGGGGGGGGGGGAGGAAGGTGGGAAAACGGGAGGGAAATCAGGGGAAAAGGGAGGGAAAGGGGAAAATGGGGGGAAGGAGAGGTGAGCAGGCCCTGCCCATGCCTGACCGCTCAGACACCGCCAACCCCTCTTCTCCGCTCCGCTCCGCCCGCCCGGCTCCGCAGCTGACCCCATCCCCACAGCTCCCCGCGGCTTCCCGCGTCGCTCCCCGCCCGACTCCTCAGCCCCCGTTAACGGCCCGCACAACCCGCGCACCCCGCGGCCCAGCCTGCTCAGCCCAACCGCCATGGCGGCCGCCATCTTGCTGCCGCAGGGCACGCCGGGAAAAGGGGGCGGGGCTTCCGGGGGGCGGGCGGCGCGCGCGCGCGCGGAGGGGGCGGGGCCAGCGGGAACCCGCGTGGCGGCGGAGAGTGGAAAATTCCATCGGGCGCGGGGGAGGCTCCGCCCTACGGCCGGCCGGGCCATGGGGGGGGATTCCCCCGACCCCCACGTGTGATGCGATGGGGCGCTCGGCACCGTGCAACCCCCCACCCCCCTCCCCGTCCCTCGTGCAATGTGCTGGAGCCCCTCGTGCACCGTGGAACAGATGCAGGGTCTGCTTCATTGCTCCTCCCGTGCAATGTCCCTCCGTGCCCCCCATGCACCCCATCCTGAGCCCCCTGGTGCAGCCACAGGGCAGCCCAGCAGTTCGGCTCGGCTCGGCTCGGCTCGGCTCGGCTCAGCTGGGCTCAGCTCAGCTCGGCTCGGCTTGGCTCGGCTCGCTCCCACCTCCTGGCTGTGCTCCCGGGCACTGTTGATCTTGGCCAGGAGGAAGCGTTGCTCCATCGGACAGCTGGTTAATGTGTAGTGACGGCTCTTCTGTGTTCGAGACCGTTGATCCCAGCCCATGCTGCTATCGGGCCCGGCCCCCCCGCGCACCACGGGGGGTTCTTGCAGCAGCTGGGGGGAGCAGAGCGCGGCCACACACTGCAATCTGCTCCAGCGATGCTGGTGGTGGCCAGTTATCATCCAGAGATGATAATTGATGGTGGCTCCAGCCAGCGTGTGACCCCTTGCAAATCTGCCTCATTTCACCCTATAGGGTTGCCCCAGGGTGGGGTTTGGAAGGATGGGAGCACTGGAAAAAGCAGAGCACAGCTCAGCACCCAGGGCCGAGCTGCTTGCAGCTCTTCCACGCAGGGTTTGGCCGCGTTTGGCTCCATCCCTGCATTACAGAGGTGCTTGTGCAACCCGCCCCAGGTACTTGGCCAACAGGAGGACAACAGGCGGCCTGGCACGCACTGCACGGCGCAGCACAGCACGCAGCACATGCAGCAGTGCAGAACGCCCAGCCCTGCTCCTGCTGCCCCACGGCTCCCAGCGCCGTCCCCTGCTCCCAAATGCCACAAATTCCTGCCCTAAGCCACCGCAGGACCTGCGAGGCAGGATTAGCCGGTGCCCTCCGGCTGCTCCCGCTCTTGGCAGGGATGGCAAAAACTCCAGCAGAAAAAGGGAGAAAGGGAAAGCCTCTCTGGGATCTGTCTATTGTTGGGTTTTTCCCTTGTTTCCCCAAGTAAAATGGTGCACAGGCAGCGCTCGGTGCAGACTTGGGGCTCCCCACCCAGCCCTGCTGTCTCCCCACGTTGGTGCTACCACAGAACCCGTTTGCTCAGGATGCAGCAGAGGCTTCGCCAGGTTTCTCTCTCCCTTTTATCCCTTCTCTCGTGCTGCTTGCTGACAACAGCATCTGTCATGGAACAATGCAGCGGTGTGGGCCAGCAGCTGCCGCAGGGAGCGGGGCACCAAGCAGCCCGGGCTGCAGTCAGAGCTCTGTCCTCTCTCCTAAGCTGTTCCCAGAGCAGATCCATCCCTCCTGCCTGCATCCATGCATCCTGCAGGCCTGGAGGAGCCCATCAGTTGCAGGCTCCTCCTGCCCTCAGCACATCCCTGTTCCCCTTTTGCTTGCTGCTGGCTTCTATGTGATCCAACAAGACATCACAGCAAAAATAAATCTTTGGGTTTTGGTGGGTTTGCATGGCTTGCAGCAACAGAAGGCAATTATTGGCCCCATGGAGCGGCTCCGGGGCTGAACCGGCTCAGCACAGGGCAGGGCTGGGGAGGCTGGAATTCCATTTTTTGCCCTTTTTCTTTCCCATATAAAGGCTTTATGAAGAATTTTTAAACTTCCTGCTGGTGTTTGTCACGAAAGCAGCCGGCCGTCCAGCAGCACCCACTTGGGACGTCGATTGCCCTGTAAATACTGCTGGCTGTATTGAGCACGGAGCTTTCGAAGGCGGATTCTTTGCATTGCATCTTCCACAAAGCCCGAGGAGCTGAGCTGGGTGTTTTGCAGCTCTTATGGGGCTGAGATGGGTGGGTAGCAGTGCTGTGCTGCCTTATCTGGGTGCAGGGGCTGAGAGGCTGATTAATGCAGCAAAAAGGGCCCTGAGCTCCCAGATAGCGGAGCTGGAAGGATTGTCCATCTGTTCTCAGCACTGATCTGCACCTTGAGTGCTGTGCTCAGTTTTGGGCAGCAAAGAAAGGCATTGAGGAGTGCAAGTAGAGCAGGGCAATGGAGCTGAGAGGGGTCCGGAGCGCCGCAGCTCTGCAGGGAGAGGCTGAAGGAGCCGGGGTGGGTCAGCCTGGAGCAAAGGAAGCACAAGGAAGGGGGTTTATCTCATCCCACAACCCCCTATGGAGGCTGGCAGCGAGCTGGCTTGCTCTCTGCTCCAGGAATAAGCGATGGGATGAGAGGAGACGGCCTCACATTGCAGCAGGGAGGATCAGATTGGGTGTTAGGAATGATAGTCATATCTAAGGGGGAAATGGCTTGAAGTTGAGGGAGAGAAGATTGAGGTTGGATGTCAGGGGGAAGTTCTTTGCTCTGAGAGCGGTGAGGTGCTGGAACAGGGCTGCTCACAGGGGTTGTCCTTCTCTCTGGGCAGCTGTTCCAGCACCTCACCGCTTCACCTGGGGGGTGTGAGAGGGCTAATGGAGGGGCCTGAGGGCCAGTGGGGGGTCTGAACACGTCCATCCCTGGAGGCGTTCAAGGCCAGGTTGGATGGGGCAGCCTGGTATGAAATGTGGAGGTCGGTGGCCCTGCATGCGGCGGGGGGGGGGGGTTGGAGCTTCGCGATCCTTGAGCTCCCTTCCAACCCAAACCATGCAGTGATTCTGTGGGTCGCTGTCCCTGCAGGCAGCGTGGTGGCGGTGGTGGTGTTGTAAGGGGGGGCGGAGCACAGCAGATCCCCGGCTGCCCCACACAACCCCCCATCCCAACACCCCCCCCCAATTCTCGCTCCCTATGGGGCGGGGCGGCGCGCACCCGTTACGCAACGCGCTCTCGCCTCTCTCTACGTGCGCGGCCGCGTGGCCGCCGCGGCGCGCGCACGCGCCGTCCCTCCTCCCCTCCTCCTCCTCCTCCTCCCCTCCTCCTCCTCCTCCTCCCTCTCGGCCTCCTCGTGCCGGGAGCGCGCGCGCGCCCCCGCCCCTCCCTCCCTGCCTCCCTCCCGCCGCCGCCGCCGCCGCCGCTCGCTGTATCGGTGCGGGGCCGCCGCCGCTCGCAGCGCCCCCCCCCCAACCCCCCCCACTCTTCCCTCATTCTCATTCCTCTCCGCCGCCCCGCCCCGCCGCTGGGGGGCGCTCTGCGCCATGCCGGCTAAGCGGCCCTTCGAGCGGCTCCCCGCCGACGTCAGCCCCCTTAACTACGGGCTGTGCCTTAAGCCCGACCTCATCGACTTCACCTTCGAGGGCAAGTTGGAAGCCGCCGTGCAGGTGAGCGCAATCCCTTCAACGTTCCCGGTAAGGCCGGGCAGGTGCAGGAGGGCCTCGGGTGCGGCCCCGCCCCGTGAGGCCTGGTCGGGGTGCGGGGGGTCGGGGTAGGCCGCGGTGTGAGGCGAGGGGGGGGAGGGGTGGAGGGAGAGATTGGGGGGGGCGGCGGGGAGCAGCCGGGGGGCAATGGGGGTGTGGGGGTCAGTGGGGGGGGTGTGAGGGCCGATGTGGGGGTTGAGAGCCAGTGGGAAGTGTTGGGGGGGGGGGGGGGGGGGATGTGTGAGGGTTAATGGAGGGGTCTGAGGGCCAGTGGAGGAGTGTGAGGGCCAGTGGGGGCCAATGTGCGTCTGAGAGCCAGTGTGGGGGTTGGGGGCCAGCAAGGGGATCTGATGGCCAGTGGGGGGTCTGAGAAGTAGTGGAGGAGTGTGAAGGCCAGTGGGGGGGTCAGGGGCCAAGGGGTAGACTGAGGGCCGGTGGGGGGGGTGTGATGGCCAATGTGGGGCTTGGGGGCCAGTGGGAGGACTGAGGGCCAGTGAGGGGGGCTGAGAGCTAGTGAGGAGGGATCTGAGACCCAGTGTGGGGGTTGAGGGCCAGTGGGGGAGTCTGAGGGCTAATGGAGGGGTCTGAGGGTCAGTGGGGGGGAGGTTGGGGGGACTGATATGGGTCTGAGAGCCAATGTGGGGGTTGAGGGCCAGTGGGAGGGCCTGGAGGCCAATGGGAGGGTCTGAGGGCTAATGGGGGGTTGTTGGGGGCCAGTGTTGGGTCTGAGGGCCAGTGGGAGGCTGGGGGCCATTGGGGGGGTCTGAGGGCCATTGTGGGGGTAAAGAGTCAGTGGGGGGGGATCTGAGGGCCAGTGTTGGATCTGAGGGCCAGTGGGAGGTTGGGGGCCATTGGGGGGGGTCTGAAGGCCATTGTGGGGGTAGAGAGTCAGTGGGGGGGGATCAGAGGGCCAGTTTGGGGCTTGAGGGCCTGCAGGGGGCTGGGGGGCCAATGGGAGCTGCCCTGTGGTGCTCAGGGGGCTGCCAGAGCCTTGTAGGTTGCAGCACTGTGGGACCCTTTTGGGGGGCTGAGCTGTGAGCCCTTGTGACCATGGACCCGCAGGAGGATGAGTAAGTTTGTGTCATGTGGAAGAAATCCTGAAAAGAAAAAAAAAAGAAGGGTGTCAATGGACGTGCCGGTGTCAAACAGCACCGGTCCTCCCACAGCGTGCTGCCTTGGGGCTGCAGAAATTCCCCATCTCTTCCGCTTGGATCCCAAGCACCCATTCCTGTCTTCGCGCCCAAGTGCTGCTGCTGGGCCCTGGTGCAGCTGTGGGGCTGCACTGCAAATGGGATCACTGCAATCAGCCCGGTTAAAAATAACACGGGGGGGAGGGGAGCGACGGGTTTTTAAGCCAGGCTGGCTGCTGGGAGCGAGTGGTGTTGAGCTGCAGCCGTGGAAACTTCGTTGAATTCCAGGAATCGTGTTGGTTCGGAGCCTTCTTATGGGTTTGGTGTGGGGTTTTGTGGATTTTAGCCCTGCTGGGATATGGTAGTGCTCTTTGCTGCTGTTGGAGGGATTGCTCAGTGATTTCTTAGGGCAGAGGCAGCACCTGACAGTGCAGCATTCTGGACTTTCTGACCAGCTGAGGGCATAAGGAAGAGCATTGGTGCGGAGGGTTCAAGGTTGTCACCAATTCAGCTCTCGCTGTGGCAGCGCGTTGTTCCCGTGGGAGAGAGAAACGGAGCAGGGGGATGTTTTAAAAGCCTCTGATGTGATGCATCTTTATTCTGAAGCCTCTGAGTAACATAACAACCATGGGAGAGTTTCCAGGCTGCGTCCCAGGTGTGTGCAGAAGGTGGATGTGGTGAGTGCTGCAGATGTGAAGCTTGCTTGGCTGCTGGTGTCCCCAGCCTGGTGAAGGCACGCTCCAGAAAATGAGAGGATAACTTGTGCTCCTACTGGGGAGAAGAAGAACCAGCTCTCCAACAATGCTAGGTGCGAGGGAATGGCTTGCTTAATGAGAATGTGCTGACGTTTGCTGGTTGTGCCTTACTGAGTTGAGGCTGAGTCTAGAAGAAATAACTCGCGTGCTTTTGGATCTCGTTGGCTCCTTTGAGGACCTGTTGACCATTTCTGTTAGCAGCTTTCGTAAAGTAGAGCGGGGTTCATCCTGCTTTCAGCATCCCTTGTGCAGGCCTGGAGGTGAAAGGGATTTAACAGTGAGACAAACTGGATTTTCAAGATTTTGGGTAAGGAATGAAAGTAATCATGAGATAGAATGCTCCTTCCTGAAAGCCCAGAAATGGTTTTTAATAATGAGTAAAGCGTGATCGTGAGTCCCTCTGCCCCATTCCAGTGTGATTATGGCTGGGCGAGTGGAAATCCACCTTGAGCAGTGAAAGGGGAGATGCTTCCTGATTGCAGGGCGAGTGCTGAAACTGAGACACCAAAATGGAGCAGGATTAAATGATGGGAATTTCGTTTATACGCTTCATAAATGTTCATTTGCTCTTCTGCATATTGAACAGCAAACTGGAATTAACAGGGGCTGTAATTCCTAGTCGAGACACCAGGAGCAAAACACCTGATGGGTGAGTTTGTGCTGCTGGCTGTGAGCAGGGTTTGGCAGCTTTCTGTGTAGAGCTTTAAGCCTTTCAGCTTGAGCACCAGGCCCTGAAAAAGCTCTGCTGAGCCCTCCTGGCTGTGGGCACTGAGGGAGGCGTCTGTCAGGATCTGAACAGAAACACTTTGCTTTTCTGCCCCACTCAGGAGTGATGCATCTCTTCCACGGCTTCAGAGAGCAAAGCCTTCTGTGATTCAAAAGATAAGGAGCTGCTTCGGTGTCAGCAGTGAGCAGACTGGTTTCAGAGGCTTAAAAAGAAAGAATACGTGCCTGCAGTTTATGATGGCACTTCAGGTTTTCAAGTTAGGGAAGTGACCCTGTGCCTGCTAATTGTTGTTCCCTGATAAAGGAACAATGCTCTAATCTGTCCCATGATAACATTTAATACTTAGCTTGTGAAGTGCGTGGCGGCCTAACTCCAAAGTTTTGAGTGCTTACCTGAGATCCTTAAATCGTGTAAATTGTGGTCATAGGAGTGCATTGGAAGCTTGGAGAATTATGTAACAATTATATAAACGGACAGTTTTCCATTGGCGTGGCTTAAAAGCCAGGAATCCTTGCAGGTTCCTCGTGAAACGGGGGCCTTTGGTCACAGGCAGGACGTGGGGAGGAGCAGATCCTGCGTGGCAGCTGTGGGTCTGGAGCAGCACCGCCTGCTGTGGTCCTGCTCCCCTCCAGCAGCTGCACTCCTGGAGCTGTGAACCATTCATCTGGGGGTGTGGATGTTTCAGAATGAGCACAATGAAGATTTGGGTTGGGTTTTTCTTTTTGTTTTGTTTTATTTTTAATTTTTTTTTTTTATTTTTTTTTGAGTGGAAGCAGTTAATCTCCTTTATTCATCTGTGAGCTGCAGATTGATTTCTTGCGGCCCTGGTGCTCGGGGGGCAGCCATCAGCACCGTGCACTGCTCTGCTGGCTGCTGGAGGGTGTGGGGCACACAGGGGTCGTGCTGACGGCCTGCTCTCCTGCACCGTGCTGAGTAAGGCAGAAACACAGCTGGCTGCTGAAGCTCAGCGTTCTGGGAGCCTCCAGGAGGGAATTCTCAGTGCTGGCACAGCCCTGAGGGCTCAGCTGGCTGTGCAGGGCAGGAGGTGCAGTGCTGCCTGCCTGCTGCTGGCTGTGGGCAGCACAGCAGCGATTCCCCCCTCACAAACTGCATTTGTACAGTAAGGAGTTCCCAACCTGAGGCGGATGGGCTCGTGCACGGATCTTTCCCAGCCCCTTCAACGTGTCTTAGGGATGCTCTGTTATATTTAGCAGTGTTTAACCTGTATCTGTTGCTTTTAATAGGCTGATAAGGCAGAGTGAGCTGAGCTAAAGATACGCAGTCTTCCGATCTCACTGCGTGCCGGTTAAAGATTGACACTCCAGCATGTAAACCTTGAGACATGGAGCTGTAACAGGTGTAGTATTTGTGCTCTGCATCTCCTGAGGTGGGCAGGAGGTGGTGAGTGTCACAGTCTTCTTATCCAGCTTTGTAGTTTACATTTGCAGCCCATGAAATCAGGTCTGAATTTGGGGAAGGTGAGCACTGAAGGTGCTGTGCTGAGCGCTGCAGCCTGCTGCTGCTCCTCAGGAAGTGGGGATCTTTGCTCCTTTCCCCTCCAGCTCTGCATTTCACAGCGCTGAGGTGATGGCATTCATTGCAGTTCCAGGGGGATTTGCTTGTCCATGCAAATTGTTCTCTTCTGAAGCACTTGTGGCTGCTGCAGATGGGTGTAGGGATGGCCACTGGAGTGAAGGGGGTTTTTCCAGTGCACCTATTGGTCTTGGCAGTGGTAGTTTTACTGCTTGGCTTCTTTGATTTCCTCTAAGATACGAATTAATAAAACCTTCTTATACTTTTCTCACTGTATTCAGGAATTCTTAAAAAGCTGCTTCTTAGAAGAGAACTGAAGTAATTTTTAGTTGCCTATTTTTAGAGGGTAAAAGCTGAAAGTGTGCATGCTGGCTGTAATGCTGCATTAAGGCAAGTATTGTGAAGCAGAGTTACAAGATGTAATTACCTGGACCTGCAAAAGGCCCTGCAGAATTACTTTTGGCTGCAGAAGGTGCCTGCTGAGCACCCAGCGCTGCGTTTCAGGTAGGCTGGCATTCCACAGCCATTCAAAATCTTGTTTCTCACGTCCTGAAAAAAGTTTTTCCATCGAGTCCTTTCCTGCTAGAGAAAACAAACGGCCTCCCAGCATCTTTGAGTCATGTTTGGCACAGCTCTGCTGAAGTCTTCATTGTTTCTCACTGTCAGAATAACAGTGTAGGTGCCACCGTGCTCACAGCCCCTGGCCCTGGGCTCAGCCTGCCCATAGGAGGAAATGTAACTGGAAAGGAGCTGTAGAGCACTAAGGCAAGAGTGATTTCATCTTTTTGTGCTAAATGAACATTGTGGTGTGCACAATAGTTGAGTAATCGGCCTTTTCAGCCCTTGTGTGCAGCACGATATTCCCTGGGAAAACTTTTTGGGTGCAGCTTTAGCTGGCATCTCAGATTTGCCTTCCCAAGTGCTGAGCGTGGAAGGGGACGTGCTGGGCTGGGAGAGCATCAGCACCACAGCAGCCCAGTGTCTGCAGTGTGTTTTGGGGCAGTGCTGGCTCTGAACGCTGCCAGAGCTCCGTGGGAAGCAGCGAGCTTAAAGCTTTGAGGCTCATCCCCTCCTTCCATTCCCAGTGGGGCTGTGCTGCAGGTTCTCACGAGATAAACGGGTGGTTTGTGGCTCTGTGCTGCTGCTGTTCTTCCAGGTGTGTCTGCTGTCCATCGTCTGGGCGATCGGAGGGAGCAGGCTCTTGGCCAAGGCCTCTGCACCAACCTGAGAGCTTTCCTTCCTTCCACAACTCAATTAGCAGAGCCTCAGCAGTGCGGTGCGTGGTCCTGGATGTCTGCACCCATGCACTGAGTTTTACCTTTCATCTTTCAGAGGACGTTTGCCATCTCCTGGCTCAATCCTTTTAAATGCCTCTTCCATGTCACTGTTTGTAGGAGGCAAGGGAAATCTAAGAATAGGTAATTGCTTTTCTGAGGAGCCTCTGAATTCGTCTCCGCTTCAACGTAAACTTTCTTATTCTGCAGCACAGTGCTGTGCTGGAAATTCCTCTGTCCTCAGAAGAGTTCATTTTTTACAGATCAAGTCTATTGTTAAATCCAGTATTGTCTGCAATTTGGACAACTATTTATGCATCTTGAATTCTTAATCCAGAGAGATTTGGATTTGTAGATTGAATAAAGGTCTTCACAAGTACTCTTTTATAAAAAGATTTTCTCATCCTGATTTCTTTTTCTGCGTTTTAGAAGACCTCGAAAAACCCCAAACCTTAGAATTGTGATGAAAATCATCGGGGCTTGGATCTCTGTCTTTTGGGAGGTGTTGCAATCCTTTGGTTTCATGCACACCAAATGGAAAACGTGGATTTCAGATCGCAAGTCTGTACTGGAAGCATCGGCTCCAGCCCGAGTTCTGCAGCTGTTCTGTCTGTTAGCTTCATGCCTTGCACGTGTGTTGTATCCCTTGCTGTGGAATCCCAAGCAGGTCTTTGGGTGCTGTTGGTTTGGTTCTGTGACCCTCAGGGGCACCGTGGGGAAAGGAGCTGGGTGCTGAGTGCACAGCCAGCTCAGCTGCTGGAATGAGGAGCAGTGAGGGAGGCGATGAGAGAATGGAGAAACTGCTGGGGGAGGTTTGTGCCCAGTGAAGCATCTGAGGGGGGGGGGGCTTTCCTTGGGCAACCAGGTTTTAGCACTTGGGCAGGCAGATTATTAGATTAGATGGCCCATTCTTAATGATGCTATTAAGTTACACGCTTAAATTTCTTAAGCCTCTCATCACCGACCAGATTTGGGTCTTGTGCACACAAGGACTGAGGAAGCGTTCCTGCAGTCAGCCTGGGCAGGAGGGCTGGGGGCTGAGAGCTGCCAGGCTCCCCTCCTTGGATGCCTGAAGCATCCCCAGCACTGATGCTCACATTTGGTTGCTGTGGCTCTGCTGGTAGCAGGGAGAGGGCTAACAGGGCACTAGGAGGCAAAAAGCAATGAGAAAAGGCTGCAAGTCCTCATGCTGTAAGGAATGAAGTGTCTGGGTACGGCAGTGGCTGTTGGAAGGATTCTCTTTCCTCTGCAGAGCAGGCATTGCCTGCTGCCTGAAGTGCTGTCCGGCTCCATCCAGCGTGCTGGTTTGGGTGGCTGCAGCCCTAAGGTTCTGAATAATTCCTAGTTTAGTTCCCAAATATTTAGCCCCTTTGTAATTAATTGATATTTAATTTGAATTCTTCTGTGTTCGAGCTCTTGCATCCAAATAGGGAGCTGGCACAGGGAGGTGGTTTGTGACTACGCTGGGAGCCGGCCGCTTGTTAAATAAAGCAAAGCGTGCGTAGCCAAGAGCTGGCAGAAGGAAAGCTTTCAGGAAAATGTAAAGGGAATTTCTTGGCAGATGTTTTTAACCTTAAGAACTTGTACCATCGTCACCGGTGCAGAATGCTGAGCCTGTAAGTTGTGCTGCCTGTGATCTCTGGGAGGTGTGGGTTTGTGTTCACAAGCATTCCACTTGTTCTGCAGTCTCCTCCAGGTCGTTGCTGAAAGGAAGCCTACAGCTTTCCATCTGTTTTCATTGGTCTTGGCTTCCAGGCATGTACAAGGGCCCTATTGTCCAGCACACGTATTGAACGGGCAGCCCATTCCCTGAAATATTACAGTATTGATAAGCAGGGACGGAGGGTTGGAGTGGGATTCAGGCACTCGGGTTCTGAAAAGGACGAGAGCGGGGGGTGGAAAATCTTTCTCTTCTTTGCCCCTTGGAAGCACGTGGTGATGTGGGAGTTGATAGATGGAGTGGAGGTGAGAATGCCTGCCTCGCTGGGGTGCCCTGCGCCCTGTGCTCCCTTACTCTGCTCCCTTATTCCTGGTGCTGATGACGTTTCTCTTGCAGGTGAAGCATGGCACCAACCAGATTGTGATGAACTGTGCTGACATCGACATCATTACAGCCTCCTATGCGCCAGAAGGAGACGAAGGTAGGGCTGCTCTTCTGCTGCTGCTTTATGGCAGTGTGTTTCTGTTGCTGCTGCCAACGGTTAACGACTTCAATAGAAAATACATCTCATCATTGGAGGAGCTGCCCTCCTGTAAAGCATGCAGCGAGTTCCCCAGCCTTTCTTTTCCCCATTCCTGTGTGTTGCCTCAAGTTTCCTTTGGCCTGCTCTCCCATTTGTGTGTCGTAGGCGAAAGGGCACCTGCTGTGACTTTGTTTGTTTGTTGTACCTGCATAAAAAAACATCCTCTGCACCTCTGGACTTGGCAATATTGACAAATGCTGCAGCAAGGGCTTAGCTTAGAGCTGGGTCAGGAGTGGCCAGCAGTAGGAAATCCTCACTGTGAAGGGTCTGAAAAAGTGCACAAAACTTAATTGACATGGAACAGAATTTTCCTGGTGTGGAAAAAGGTGGTTGTGTGGAGGAGAGCAGGCAGTGCACTGGAAGACAGGAGGTTCTTGGGGACACAGGCAGGAGCTGTCATGATACGCTGCCGTGGAGGTTGATGTCGTCACCAATTCTACTGTGTGGAGATTTTAGCAGGCCCAAAAAGAGTTACAGTGATTACAGTATGAAATGATCAAGGTGTGGGAAATCAGGAGCTTGGAATGGAGTAATGCTTTGATAGTGGGTGAAGGGTTTCTGGCTGTCACGGGGAGCCTCTGCTGCCTCAGGCATTGAAGTAATTTGGTCCACGACGTACAACTGCTGCTTACATCACTCAGACAACAAAAGGCTCTGCAGGAGGAAGAGTCATAGGAGCAACTGTGTCAGAACTGGGTTGTGAATTAAAGGAGTGTGTGAGGCCATGGAGAGTGGGTTAAACTCCCCAGGTGTGTTTGCCCAGCAGCTGGGGGCCTCGGAGGGAAGGGCTGTGCCTGAACCCCTGCACGAGGAACCTGCCTTCCTTGGGACTGCTTCATTCTTCTTGCAGTGCCCTCTCTGGAATAGCACTGTCCTCAGGCTGGTGGAGTTTGGTGTGGCAAACAGGGAGTTTTTGCACTTAAATCTGTTTGGTGCTTTTTTAATGTAGGACCAAAGAAAGCAGAGGTGCTGCAGCAGGGAAGCAGCACGCAGAGTGCAGGGAGGAGCAGGGCTGGTGGGGTCTGTTCCATCCAGCACTGTGCCCCAGCCCACACCGCCTGCTGGCTCCTTGTTTTGCTGTTGAGAAAGTGAAAACAAATGGAAAAGGTGCCTGAGAATCATTACTTTCCCCTCCAGTCAAGGGAAGTTAATAAAATAGAGAGAATGTTTGTGGCTCGTTTTCGTGTTTTCGGAGCTGATCTCACTGTCCTTCAGGGGGTCTGCTTTTATATTCCTTACCAGTGGTGCACTCCCCTTGAAGTATTAACAGCAGAGATTCACAGAGGCTTTTGTCTTTAAAACTGAGTAAACTGGAAATCAATTTCTGTAGCTTGAGTTTCTTCATTCTGATGTCAGCTTTCGGGCTCTGGACGCGGAGGGCTGCAGTGTGGGTGCTCACCTCTCCAAGTGCTGCAGCATAAATACTAGAGGTGCAGTTTGGCATGTTGTCTGTAATTATAGTCTGGCTTCGTGGGGTTAAAGCGTATCTTTCAGGTTGGTAAACTGCCAAATAGTATAATGGCTTTGGAAGTAAAATTGCATGAAATTGGCAGACTGTTTGCTGGCACCTGTTGATACAGATCAAGTCAGTCTTACTAATGCTTCTATTGTGCACAGCTTCTGGATGGTAATTTTAGAACTGGTCGCAAAAACCAAATATGAAATGTGGTCCAACGAAGCAACAGAAATCAGCTGAATCAGCAGAGTTTGGTCCCCTGGGTGAATCTTCTTCATGTTGCTTATGGAGGATGTTTGAGAGCTGTGTGAGGGTTTCTCCTGCAAGGCTCCACCTGTTTGTTCTTTGGGGGATGGAGGCAGCAGGGGGTGGCATTCGGTCCTTAATGCACATTTCCAGGGCAGTCAGATGCATTCCCAAAGTTTGACTGGGAGCTGAGGGATGATTGCTGAACTTTTCAAGTCCCGGTCTTGATTTCTGCTACGTAGCCCACAGCTGAATGACAGTGAAGAATAAATCGGGAGATATTGATAGCTCAGTACTTTGCAATAGGAAAATCCCAAACCAGAGTGCAGTGATGGGAAGTGGAGGCCGTGGCCGTGCAGTTTGGGTGAGCTCAGCTCTAACAGCCCCTCCACAGGAGTCAGCTTTGCATTGCTGTGGGTGCAGCTGCCTTCTCCCAGCAGCTCTGTTGGAGTGGTCGATCTCATCCTGCCTTTTGTGGGGCCAATTGGAAAAAGAAAACACAACCCCCCCCTGCCCCCAGCCCAACCTGTGTGCATGGAGCAGCATTATTCTGCAGCCAGCTTGATTCTGATAGTCCCAATCCCACCATTCCCACTTGGCCGTGTTGCTCCGCGTCCGTCTGACATCGGTTGGAACCGCTGGCGAGGCTCCACGTTTGGAAGTGTGTAACACAGAAACTGGGATCATTAATTGACGTTTCCATCTCGTTACCGTGCCATTTCAGGAAGTACTTTGTAGGAAGGCTGTAATTTGTTTAAAATGCTGTTGTAAAATCTAATCTGCAGCGCTCCCAGTCTGGGAGAGTCGCTAGCTCTGATTTGGATGCTTTTTTTTCCAAGGCAGCTCTAGCAGCTTTGTATTTTCTCATGCTATTTGGTCCAGACTGTGCACTAATGTGCTGGTGATTAACTTGCAACCTTGCAGTGCCAGACTCTCCAAAGTGAGCAGGCTGCCAAAACCGTGTTGTTCTCCTCAGGAGCTTTTGTATTCAGTGCTGTTAGGAATTCGGACGGCCTTTAACTGCAATTACATCTTCGGTTGTGAGTGGTTCTCTTAAATGACAAGAAGCATTGCTGGTGGTTTTCTGTGCTGCTTTTTGCTGGGGGTTTGATTATTAGTGCTGAGTCGTCAGTTTAGAGAGTGTAGCTTCAAATCTTTCATTTGCATTCTGTTCTTTCTGACGTGTGAATGTGTCAGTAACTGCTTTGAGAACTCTGAGCCACCACTGAATGACAGTGAGGAGTAAAGCAGGGGATATCGATCCTGCTGTAGTCTGGAATAGAAAAATTCCAAGCCTACGTGCAGTAAGTGGAGGCCGTGGCTTTGCTGTTGGTGTGAGTTCAGTTGCAATGGACCACAGCCCCTCCATGAAGGGACTTTTCCATTGCTGAGGGTACAGCTGGCTTCCCCCAGCGAGCAAACCCGAGCAGGCCTGATTCAGCAGTTGATCTCATCCGGCTCACAGCTGATCTTTAAACTCTCGCAGCTTCCCAGTACGGTGTGGAGTTGTTTTCGATCCTGTAAAGATCTTTGTTTGCACAGCTCGAGTTGTGTCATGGTGCTGCCCTGCCCGAAGGCCGAGCGGCGCGGTGTGAAGGCAGCGCCGGTGTGGTTTGTGTGCTCTGTGAGCAGAGGGTGGTGTTTGCTCTGACTGAATCACAGAATCACAGAATTGTAGGGGTTGGAAGGGACCTCCAGAGCTCATCGAGTCCAACCCCCTGCCAAAGCAGGTTCCCTACAGCAGGTCGCACAGGTCGGCATCCAGGCAGGTCTTGAACATCTCCAGAGAAGGAGACTCCACCACCTCCCTGGGCAGCCTGTTCCAGTGCTCCTTACCTCACTGTAAAGAAGTTCTTGCACACGTTTGTGTGGAACTTCCTATGCTGCAGTTTCCAGCCGTTTCCCCTTGTCCTGTCTCCACTCACCACTGAAAACAGTCTGGCCTCGCCATTCTGCCCCCCACACCTTAGATATTTATAGACCTGGATCAGGTCCCCTCTCAGTCTCCTTTTCTCAAGGCTGAACAGCCCCAGTTCACTCAGCCTTTCCCCATAGCAGAGATGCTCCAGGCCCTTCACCATCTTTTGGCCCTCCGCTGGACTCTTTCCAAGAGATCCTTGTCTTTTTTGTACTGGGGAGCCCAGAACTGGACACCGTACTCCAGATGAGGTCTTACCAGGGCAGAGTAGAAGGGGAGGATCACCTCCTTTGACCTGCTGGCCACGCTCTTTTTAATGCACCCCAGGATGCCATTGGCCTTTTTGGCCACAAGGGCACACTGCTGGCTCATGGCCAACCTGTCATCCACCAGGACACCCAGGTCTCTTTCCGCAGGGCTCCCCTCCAGCAGCTCATCCCCCAACCTGTACTGGTGCATGCAATTATTCCTCCACTGAAGGCTGACAGCATCGTATTCCAGAAAAAAAACCAAACCAACACGTCACGTTTTATACAAAATCAAACCACGTCTCCAATTACATCTGCTATCTATAGAACAGCTTATCTGAACGTCTTGAGAACGTTCGGGCTGCCTCCAAAACTGCGTACCTGGGTTCTGGTAGTGACACTTGAGCAGGGAAGGCAGGGCATGCTGTAAATCACAGCCTTGTTTTAAACGAGCCTTTCACTCTGCACAGCCAACGGAGCAGTAGCTGTTCTGCTTTGTTCAGTTCTGTTTTGTCCCTTCTCTCTGTGATTGTTCAGAAAGCAGCATGTGTGTCTGTGTGCCTCCCAGGCTGATGGTTGGTGACCCTGCCTGTGGCCCAGGGTTGAAACTAGGTGATCTTTGAGGTCGTTTTCAACCCAGGCCGTTCTGTGGTTGCAGAGGCTGTTTGCTGCATCGTTTTTGCTGCATCCTGGGTCGGTTCTGAAAAGCTCCCTGAGCTTCTCTGCCATTTCAGCACCCAACCCGTGTTTTCCCATCAGATTTGCTGTTAGTGGATGGGGTGGGCAGTTCGTGCTGGGGATGCTGTCACTGGATGCTGGTTTGGGCACTTCGTGGATCTTCACAAACTGCTCTGACCTGCCAGATATTCGCTGTGAACCTGGAGTTACGCGTTCCTGCACGATGTTGCCGTGCCCAGGGTTACCCAGCTGCTTCATTCGTGGCACTGACGTGTGGTCTCTGTTTCTGCTGATCTGTTTTGATGCAGATTTGCATTCCTTAGAGATAGCTAGTTATGGCAGCAGTTAATTATAGGGGGACAAAGATAGCAGAACTTGCACAACAGGGCCCTGTGCAGCTATTTTAGATGTGTGGTTGGAGGAGCGCCGTCGTGCATTGCTTCGTGTGCCCCAGTGGCACTTGGGGAGCTGGGCAGGAAGGAGCACCAGGAGGAGCTGGGTCTGTCCACGGGCTGCAGGGCAGCTCTGCTCTGCTGGTTCCCTCCCCCAGCTCTCCTGCTTTGCTCTCATAGTTGAGATGTTTGCATCTACAAATAGATCCCAACGCTGTGTGAATGAATGCCGGGCTGCTTAATATTCCAGTTGGTTTTGGATGCCCTTGCTGAATGGTGCACCATCTCCAAGGTAGGTCTGTGGGTCTACAGGCATGCTTAAAATAAAATCAGCATCGAGTTTTTCTTAGCGCTTATAACCAAACAAAACCACCTTGCTGTGGGCATTAGTGTGCTTTTCAAACCAGCCCACGAATTATTAGTTAAATCATAAGCATTCTGCTCAGGGTAATTAACAGGACTCCTGCTGCACTAATGTAAGCCTTTAATATTGAGGGAAAACAGTGCCATTTCTTGCTGTTTTCGAAGGTTGGAGTAGTGCTGCACAGGCTCTGGAGTGAATGTGCTGAATTCAGGCTTGAAGCAAGGTGAGGTGGGGTCACTGCAGACAAAGGCTGGCGTTTCTTTGGTTGCTCAAAACGATCCTTCTGGATTATTCAAAACCTCCATTGATTTGCTGTTGGATTCGGCTGATCGGGTTCACCTGAAGGGCTCAGGAGTTACAAAAGCATCACTGGATCTCCTTTCAGACGAAATCTTTCTCTTGCAGAGGTACATGCCACAGGGTTCAACTATCAGAATGAGGATGAGAAGGTTACCCTCTCCTTTCCCAGTACCCTTCAGAAAGGTAAGAGCTATTCAGGTGCTTTCAGCTCGCTCTGCCCTGTGCATTTGTGGTGCTTAGCAAAGCTGGAGCAGCAGCTGCGTGTCCCCCAGAGGCTGAGGGAGTGGAACCTGAGCTGTCAGCTGTCAGACTCTGAGAATGCCTTAGAGTTGGAGTTCCCTCTTCTAGCAGAAAGAAGGCAGCTCAAGGAAGTGCCGTAAGAAGCTGCTCTTCATCTGTTTCTGTAGGAAGTGCTTTGATTATCTCTGTGTCTGCTCAGTGAATGGATGCTTAGAACGGGCAGCACAGATTAACACCTGACTCGAGAGACCTCTTTCACAAGGTCCCTGTGGTACTCAAATCTCTGAGATTCATGGGAAACACAACAGATAAGAGCTTTGACTGTGGGCCCCTGGAACTGGAGAGATTGTTTTCTTAATGGTGGTGTTTGCTTCTAACGTGAAGGTGACTCCAATTATTTACCTGCTATTGGGCTTTAGGCTCAAAGCTATTTCTGTCACATACTGATGATCTGTTCTCCTCTTACTGAGAAAGGGCTAATCTGAGTTACTGCAGCCTTTTTCCTAGGCTTGAATGCACTAAATCGTTTGAAACCATTGTTTTTTGTGTGGGGTTTGTGGATTGAAGCTTAGCTCCTTGGTTTGGATGAAGCTGTTTTGCTTCATCTTTTCAAACACAAATGTAAAGATGGTCTGGTGATAAACTGCTGGCATTTCATGCTGTGGGATTTTGGCAGGCTGCCTTTCTGATCAAGATCAGGTTTCCCCTTTTACACCCAGTCGTGGAGGGCAGAATAAATCCTGAGACTAATTGACTTAGGAGCTTGAATGCCACCAGTGCTCCGCTTTGCTTTTGCAGCAAGTTTCAAGAGGATGAACAGCCACAGCTTGTGCTTTTGCAAATACACACGAGGGCAGTGGGGTCAGGCCTGTCAAATGGCTTCAGGGAGATCTCTCTTGGTTCCTGTGTTGTGCTCAGAGGATGAGAAGGAACCTGCAGGAACCTGCTCTGTTGTACGGTACGCCTGGCTTTGCCTGCGCTGGTTTTGATGCTTAGCTCTGCTGGATCTCGTTTCTTCCATAAGGAGAGCAAAGGGTTTGAAAGTCAGAAAACCTGTGGGTGGGGATGAACCGAAGGCCATCTTCACAAAGGCAGTGGCCCAGCTGAGAGGCCCAGGCTGCAGGTCTGGGCCAAAGAGATGCTCTGTGGTGTTTCCTTAACAGCGTCCAATCTGTTTCTGTTTCAGGGACGGGAACGCTGAAGATAGACTTTGTAGGGGAGCTGAATGATAAAATGAAAGGTTTTTACCGAAGCAAATACACAACCCCTACTGGAGACACACGCTATGCTGCTGTCACTCAGTTTGAGGTACGGGCTGCGTTTCTCTTTGCAAGGGTTCTCATTCTTGTGGGGTCTTTGTTCTCGGCAGCAGCGCAGGCCTGCTGTCCTGGCTTTGGTTCTGCTTTGGGTAAACTTCAAAAAAGCTTTTATTTTTTTTGCTTCTGGTGGATGGGCAGTGCTCAAACTGTCCTTTATGCTGTGACTTGAAGGTCGGTGCAGTCTGGGTCTGGCACATTCCCCAGCCAACAGTCATGCTGATGTGTGATGCACTATATATAAATAAAACAGATGCAGCGTTTGGAAGCATCTATTTATGCAGATGTGGTCAAACACATCTGTATAGCTTGCCCCTGTGAAATATATTAACTTTTAATTAGAACATTCTGCCTTTATCTCGGCATTATAATGACATCCAAAACGCGAGCCAGAAAATGGCTCAAGCATTATGTAAGCCCTGGTCATAAGGACAGAATTTCATTCCATATTGTGATTTCATAGCTGCGTGCCACAGGAAAACACAGAGTGCTGCCTTGCACTCACAGAAGGCTTCCTTTGGGTGCAGGGTAGGTGGTCCTGTGTCTGCTGTCTGGGAATGCCTGCGTGCCCTTCTGCTTTCACATGACTGAGCTTTGCTCCTGCCATGACTCTGCTAAATTCTGCACAGGCTGTAGAATTCCATCAGAGCACAGAGTGCTTTTTAGCTGCGTTACAAAGGAAGAAGAAAAACAGAGAGAGAAACAAATGATCGCATCAGTCACCGAATGCTTTAGCATAGGGGTTGGTGAGGAGGTGCACAGTGCCATCACCACCAGCCTGCATTCATCCAACTTCTTGCCCATGAGATATACCTATTTTTGGGCTGTTTCCATTGCAGCAGCTTCTTGTGATTTCTTGGGTTAACTTTCTTTCTTCTTTCAGGCTACTGATGCTCGCAGAGCTTTCCCTTGCTGGGATGAGCCTGCTATTAAGGCGACTTTTGATATTTCATTGGTGGTTCCTAAAGACAGAGTAGCTTTGTCAAATATGGTAAGTTCTCGGTGCACCAACTGTCTTCTGAATGCAACTACGATAAAGGCAGCTGCCTGATGGGAAGAGAAATGTGTTTGGGGGCTTAGGAATGCAGTCTGTCTTTGTAGCTATGAGTAAGCAGCTGTAAATCGAGAGAACTCTTAAAAGATGGTACTGTTATTTCAGATGCTAGCACAAAACCTAAACAGACCTTACAAACCATAGTGGTGCACGTTTGTTTTGTTAGCTGAAGTCTAGCATATGTCATGCCACGTGCTGCTTGATGGAGAGTGGCTGGGGGGGGGGAACAGCCAACCCTTAGCATGTTTGTATAGCTGCTATAGCTTGAGATAAACAGGCGAGTTTTTCGCCCTGGAGGATGTCTGATGTGCAGGTGGCAGCACTTCTGTCACAGACACAAACGTTCTCAGGTTGCTGTTTGAAACACGGTGCAGATATTTCTGGATGCTCTTTTGGAGGAAAGCACGTGAGTTTTAAGATGGGTTTTTGATGTTTTTCTTTCGGTAAATGCAGTTCATTTCACTGTTCCCTGCGAGGTCTGGCTTTGCTCACTGACCACGTGGTTATGGTTTCTGTTTCAGTATTTGGGTCTGAGCCTCGTGCCTTACAGGGAGCTGCGTAACATCCTGTGTGCAGGGCAGCAGCTGATAGCTGACATGTTGAGCTGCCTTTCCAGGAATAGAACATAAAGCAGATAGCATAAAAGAGCACCTGCCTTTCCACCATGTGTGCATCACAGCAGCATGTCTCCATTCGTGATGGGGCTTCATTTAGCAAGGGGGGGGGAAACTGGTGATCTGTGTCATAAAACCAGGGAACTTCTTTTCCTGTTCAACACACGATTCCTAGCGATGCTGTAGTGAATGCCAGGCGTTGCAGAACAGTTTCACTTCCACAAATCTGCTTCTGTTTCATGTTGAAGAATGTCATTGACCGGAAGCCGTACCCAGATGATGAGAACCTGGTGGAAGTCAAGTTTGCTCGCACGCCCATCATGTCGACGTATCTGGTGGCGTTTGTGGTGGGAGAATATGACTTTGTAGAGACCAGGTCCCTCGATGGGGTCTTGGTGCGTGTTTACACTCCTGTGGGCAAAGCTGAGCAAGGAAAGTTTGCATTAGAGGTAAATGCACTCGAGGTGATTTTGTTATTGGTGGTGTGAGCTGTGCAGGCTGCGTGCGCCTCTCCTTTGGCCGCACAGATCTGGCAGAGCTTTGGGAGGGTGGTTCTGCTTCAGTAGCTCAGGGGGACTGGGTTTGATGTTGGAGGAGGCTTCACTTGTGGACAAACTCGTGTCTGTGATGACAGAACGCACGTTTCACTCGAGTCGTTTCGATTTAATGGTGCAGCTGTGATCCATGGGCGACGAGGAATGCTGAAGGAAAGGGGGCAGCCTGGGAGGAAAAGGGGATGGGAGCCTTCCAAGGTGCTTTGGGAGCTGGGAGCGAGTTGCCTGGAGGAAAGCTTGTGTGTGCTGCTCTCCTCGGCTGGTCTTGGCCATTGGGAAGCTTTTGGTTTCACCAGTTGTTCCAAGTTAACAAAATATTTACCAGGTTTCTCCTCTTCTCTCTTACAGGTTGCTGCTAAAACTCTGCCTTTTTATAAGGACTACTTCAATGTTCCTTACCCTCTTCCTAAAATTGATCTCATAGCTATTGCAGATTTTGCTGCTGGTAAAGTAACTCACTTTATTGATGAACTGTATTTTATTTGAATGATAAACGTTTAGGAAGAGGTGTGTATCCATATCAATAAACCTTTGTATTTATTTTATAAAGGTGCCATGGAGAACTGGGGCCTTGTTACTTATAGGTATGCTGTTAAAATACTGTCTTTCCCCTTCTTTGTTCACTAATTCTTAGCAGTAACTGGAATTAGTTTTAGGGAGCTGGCGTCATCCCAAATAAGACTAAATCAATACCTTCAGCTCTTGCTTCAATTTGAATCCTTGTGACTTCTGCAGCAGCGTGCATTGCTACACAGACCTCAGGAAGGCAGGAATGAGCTCTGTAAGCACTGTCCAAGGGTGTGAGGGCTTTCAGCTGTCTGGCAGCACTGCCTGTTCTCCAAGAGAACTTTCTTGGCTGTTTTTTTTTTCCCCCCTCCAAGTTACTGGCACAGCTGGAAGGGTTCCTCCTTTAATGTTGCAGGCAAGTTGGTCAATGTAGCAGCCACATGATTATCATGTAAATGAAAAATGCTAACTTGCCTTCCTTTTCAGTTTTTGGTGTTCCTCTGATCAAGCTTTTAGACCTTTGCTTGATAATCCTACATGATCTGTGCACACTGTTAGACTGAGTCTCCATTTTTTGCATTGGGCTTGGAAGCTTTGGACTTCAATCCTTTTGAATTTCTTTTGCTAAACTTTGAATTTGGCCTTAAAAAACAAACAAACAAAGAATTGCAGTGGATGTTTGAATCCAGGTTTAAAAATCCACACCTGAACTTCTTACGATTTTGATGAAATCTTTTACCTCCCGTGGGGGGGAAAAAACCCCACCAACGAGTAGATTATTTTATTTTTGAAGCCTTTCTTAATTTTTGCTGCTTCCTTTTTCCCCCTTTTACTCTCGATTTGGCACGCTTGCTTTGATCCCCTTGGGGCCAGAAGGTTGGCACAGAGCTGGGCTGGAGCTTCGGCCCCTCGGAGCACAGCAGTCCTGAAGCCGCTGCCCCACGGCGTCCCGGTCGCAGCGGGGTGTTGGAAGGTGGTGTTGCCTGAGCTGGGGGCTCCCGTGTGCTGTGTGTGCGTGGGACACAGCTGGAGGGAGCTGGGCTTCCTTTGGGGCTGAGGGGGGCAGAGGAGGTTGGCTGTGCATCCACCACGCAGTGCAAAGGGAGTTTCAGTGCAGGTGAGACTTGTCGTGTCCCCCCTTCCTTCCTAGATTACGTAGGGGAGCTGTTTTACACACAAAGCATAAACTTTCTCGTTCCTGCTTGGGTTACCGCACTTGTTTTCTTGCATGCTGTGAGGAACTGTTGCTCCAAAGCATTCCAGTAACTGTGGAACTTACCAAAGCAACGTCTAAACTGAAATACCTCTTGGTTTTTTTCAGTTGTACCGACGACTCTGTCGCTCGTTTAGGTTGTTTCACCTGCTTTTGCTGTGTTTTTGGACCTAGGCACGTTTCACTCTGCTCAGTTACCTCTCTCTTTTAAATACAGGGAGACTGCGTTGCTCATTGACCCCAAAAATTCCTGTTCTTCGTCTCGCCAGTGGGTGGCTCTGGTTGTGGGACACGAACTTGCTCATCAGTGGTTTGGAAACCTCGTGACCATGGTATCTAACAGCTACAAGTTCTACTTTTTGTTGCCGTGTGCTTCGTGTCCATGCTATTGTGTCCTGTCCTAACAGTCTTAAAAGCTGCTTTATTATCAGATCCTTCTTTATTGGTGTGTCCTGGAAAGGTATTTCTAGATCTTTCCTAAGGCAGGAGGAGATGAGTTGTGCTCACTGCTCTTCTTGGGCTGCTGACCCCTTCGTAGGGAGGAGCTGCTGCTCGCAGGCATTCCCTGTTCTCTGCCCTGTGCTGAATGAGGACGTTACAAGTTTCTCTTTGCTGCTGACTTCTTGTTGGTAAAGTAAAGCCCTTGGAATCTTGTTTTTACTATTCCACCCTCTTCATTTTCCAGGAGTGGTGGACCCATCTTTGGCTGAACGAAGGGTTTGCCTCCTGGATTGAGTACCTGTGTGTCGATCACTGCTTTCCAGAGTATGACATCTGGACTCAGTTTGTTTCTGCTGATTACACACGAGCTCAGGAGCTCGATGCCTTAGACAACAGTCACCCAATTGAAGTAAGCCTTGTCCTCCTGCTTATCTCCCTTCTTTCTTGTCAGCTGGATGTGAGTTTTTTGTTCCCTGTTAAGAGCTGTACGCTCGTTCGTAATGCAAGGAAAAACCCAAGGTTGCATTCACACTTTGTGGATTTTCCTCTGTTACACATTGCTTTCTTCAGTCAGAAAACTCCCTAAGCAACAGAACAAACAAAATCAGAACATTGTGGCAATTAACTGACCGTTAATTATCCTCTTCATCACAGGTTAGTGTTGGCCATCCATCCGAAGTAGATGAAATATTTGATGCTATTTCTTACAGCAAGGGAGCATCTGTGATCCGAATGCTGCACGACTACATTGGTGATGAGGTAAAAAGTCTGTTGTCAGGAGCAAACTGTAGGTTCTCAAATGTTTCTGCACTGCAAACACCTGAAGTTTATGTCTGTTCTGTCCCCAAGACTTCTCTTCTGCGTGGGTTTTGGGTTTGTATTTGGTTTTGTGTGGGTCTTGGGCTGTACTTGAACTTACCTAGGAGAAATGAGGCTGTGGGGAAAATACAGAAATAAAATCATCTCAGTGGTGAAATCTGGCTTGGGGAAAAACACAGAAGAGTTCATCTTTGCAGCAGCAGAGTTTAGGAGGGAGTTACAGGTGTGGATCCTGGGCTTCCTGGGTTGGTCCTTCAATCTAAATGCAGCACGGAGGGAGGACGGAAGGGGCCTCTGCTGTGGTGCCATGACATGCATCCAATTGTGTGTTCCCAGGACTTTCGGAAAGGAATGAATTTATATTTAACAAAGTTCCTGCAGAAGAATGCAGCCACAGGTAACTGATTATTACGTGATTAAGAGAAGTAATTTCTTGAGACACGGTTTGTGTTGGTTTCTTACGTAGCTGCTTTTGCAACTGAGTAACTGAAAAGCAGGAAATAATGGGCTTGCATCCAGTTTCCTACAAGGTTTCCCTGCACAGCCAGAATTCTGCACCCTCTGGGGGCTCTGTGCCTTGCATGAGGTGAACTGCAGGAGCTGCACCTCGTGCTGATAGACATGGAGCCTGGTGGTTTGCCTGCTGCACGCCACGCTTGGCAGTATTGATTGCATGGATGAGTAAACAGTTCAAAGTCTGCTCTGACATCTCTTGTCTTAGGCCTTTTTTTTTTGTCATTCATAAACATGCAATTGGACCTTCAGCCTCAAGCAGGCCGTGGCTCGCTTGGCTCTTTTGACATCACAGATGAAAAGTGCAGGGAGAGGCTCTTCTCTGTGCCACTTCCAGCGTGCAGCCTGGATTGATGGCGTGCTTTGAGTTGCTGTCAGGTTTTCTCCCCCCTCTCCTCACCTGCAGGTGGTTTAAACTGCTTCCTTTTTCTCACCTGTCGCCTTCACAACTTGCCAAAAGGGCAGAGGAGATCACAGTGGGCAAATGGGAGCAGTAACCACAGCTCCCACCCCCCAGAGCCCCATGGTGTAACAGTGTCTGACACGGTGGGGCTCGGGGTGTCCTTCATCAGTCTTTTCTTCCTTACAGAGGACCTCTGGGAAAGCCTGGAAAAAGCTAGTGGTAAACCTATTGCTGCTGTGATGAACACATGGACCAAACAAATGGGATTTCCACTCATTTACGTGGAAGCTGAACAGGTGAGTTGTGCAGTAATTCCCCTCACAGCAGCTGGTTTAATTTCAGAGCAGATGTTTTGCCTTTTGCTGTGTTTAAGATCAAACTTGATGCTTTCCAGTAACTAGAAAACGTGCAGTGAATTGCTTTGCTTAGTGGCAGGTCTGTTCCTGCAGGGAGGAGAAGAGGAGGAACCCGGTGGAAAGTGAAATAGAGTTTATCCAGAGGCACTGCAGGCCCTGTGCCTGGGCTTTGCTGACGTGGCCCGTTTGCTCTTTGTGTTTGAAAAGCTGCAGGGGCAGTGGAATATCTGCTGTGGGTCCCCTCAGTGCATACTGTGCTCCCAGCTCCATTCTCATTGTGCTTACGCTGCAGCATCGCAGGCTGAGCTGGGATTATAGTGGCTGGGAAGTGAAATCAGACCCCAAAGAATCAGTGGGTGATCAGGGCACGTGCGTCTCCACAACAGTAATGATGAGTGAAGTGGAATGAATCCTGGAGCTTGCTTGTGTTTGTGGGGGAGGATGGAAGCTCGGTGAGTTCGAGGAGCGCACCGAAGTCGTGCTGAGTGGAAGCTGAGGTTAAATGATCTGAAGTTCCTTTCTTTAACTCTGAACGTTGAAATAAGTTGGAATTCTTGAAGAATCTGATTTTTTTGTTTTTATATTTTAGCAAGAAGATGACAAAGTGTTGAAGTTAGTCCAGAAGAAGTTCTGTGCCAGTGGACCATATGCTGGTAAGATGAGGGCTGGGAGCAGAAGCAGAGCATTCATTCCTTTTGGTGCAGTGACAGCAATATTGGGTGATCAGGCAGCTGCCCTGCTTGGATTTGGGTGTTTAAGGCTTCAGAATGAATATAAAGCTGAGTGCTGTGATGCTTTTCACGTCTTCCTGCTATGGTGAAAGCTGCAGTCTTCAGTTCAGCTTTCATTCTGAGGCTCTTCTCTTCCCACGTCCGCTTTAAGAGCTTTGCTGCCATCTGAGGAGCTCTGTGAGCTGCTGGTCTTATGGCTGTGAATGAATAAAAATGTCTTGCATGGAAGTCAGCTCTATTTGGAGATGGAAAGTCAAGTGTTAGGCTTCAAAGGTGCTGCAGACACCCTTGGTGTTGGTCTCTAGAACTGCCCTTTTCCTTCAGGTTTTTGTCAGTTTAAATTTAAACATACTGACATCAGCTGCTGCCGAAACTTCAGCCTCACGCAAGGCTTCTCAGTGTGCAAACCCTTTTTCCTTAGGCCTTCCTTTGTTGTTGTTGCCTCTTTTAGGGGAGGATTTCCCCATGTGGATGGTCCCCATCAGTATCTGTACAAGTGACGACCCCACCAGTGCCAAAATGCAAGTGCTGATGGACAAGCCAGAGCTGACCTTGGTTTTAAAAGATGTAAAACCAGACCAGTGGGTGAAGGTGAGTGGCCACAAGGGAGCACTGAGTTTGGTCTCAGTGATGTTCTCCTTTCCTCTTCCCTCTCTTTTTCCTTGCAACCTTGTATTTCTTGTGCAGGGGCCTCTCTGCTGTGCTGCTGCTGGATATTGGCTCCTGTCTGTAATGCTTAACATTTCCCTTCAGACCTTTGTTTCCAGGAGCAGCCTTGACAATGTAAACTGGAACCTTCTCGGAGTGTGAGCCCAGAAAAACAGAGTCCCATTAAGCAGAAGCAGCTTTTGATTTCAAATCCGGTGGCTTTTTCAGTATCCCGTGGCAACTGCAGTGTAGTTCAAGTCCGTTCTGAGCAAAAATAGTCCTGTTTATTTCCCATTAGCGTGAAGGTTTTCAGTGGGTTTCACCAGGCAGGTAGGAATCTGCAAGTGGAAAAACCCACTGCTGAGATGTGCTGCAGACACTGGGCAGAAACAGGATTTGAGAATGGAAAAGAAGCAAGGGACTGGAATTATTGCTGCGTGAACAAAGGAGGTTTAGAATGACGGTTTCTGAGCTGGAGGAGCATCCATGGAACAGCAGGGAGAGTTATTGTGAATCACATCTTGCTGCTGGAGTAAGGGGAGCAGTTCAGCCATCGGTCTGCGTGTTCCCTGCAATCCCCACGCCTGTCTGCATCCCCCTGCTGACAGAGGGGCCCAGCACAGCCACCCCCCTGCCCCAGCAGGAGCGAAGATGCTGCTGATCTTTGCCTTCCTACCTCAAAATGCACTTCTGACCTGCTGGGATGCAGGGCAGGGACGCTGGCTGTGCTTTCTTGAGACCACAGTTCTGTCTCAGAGTCGTGTTGACGAAGCTGAAGTGAGGTTACAGGAGTGAGGCTTGTAGCTGTGTTGTGTCTTCTGCACCGTGTGTTCTTCTTCCTCACCCTCACCCTGCTTAGGAGTGGAGGTTTCTCTTTCCTCCTCGCTCCCATCCTATTTCCTCAGCTCTCCCATCTACCACACCTCCTACTGAGCGCTCCTGATTTAAAATAAACTACAAAACCTGCTTTTTTTTCTCTCTTTTCCTGGCTTTTCATCGCTTGCTCTTCGGTGCATTTCAGCTGAACCTTGGCACAGTAGGCTTCTACCGCACGCAGTACAGCCCTGAGATGCTGGAGAGTTTAATACCAGCCATCAAAGACCTCTCCCTACCCCCCGTGGACAGACTGGGCCTGCAGAACGATCTTTTCTCCCTGGTAAGTAAATGCTGTTCTGCCCAGTGACAGAAATGGGTGTTTGAAGAGTCAGTCTCTGTTTTTTTGGAGGCAAAGCACCCTTGGGATTATTGCATGTGTTTCACTGTGAACTCAACAGGTTCAGACTTTTGGGAACTTTCTTTTAGTTGGTAAAAGCAGGGATGTTCTAATGATCCCCTCAAAGACTTTACCCAAGACTTTAGCAGCCAGTAGGGTTTGTCAAGTCTTCCTCCCCTGGCAGAAGTGGCTGCTGGGGGGTTCCTGGTGCTCCAGAGCAATGGACTGCCTCAAAAGCAGGCAGTGTCAGCTGTGAGCAGTGCATTGCTGTGCTCTGTGCTTCAGATTGTGCTTTCTTTTTGGTTAGCAAAAGCACTGGAGGTTGGAGCAGCGTGGGTTTGAGTTGTCGTGGCTCAGTCAAGGGGGTTTGAAAGCGTGGCCTGGGTCCCTTCCCACGTATTGCAGGACCAATGGCACAGATAATAACAACGCACACAGGATCTGTGTTACACTCCTTCATTTCTGTGCCTGTTTCCATTTAATTAATACTTCATCACAGCTTAAATAGCAGAAATCGATTTTTCCACCCCCTTTTCTTTGCCATGATTTACCAGTCTGCTCCCAGCTGAAGCAGATTGGAGATTTATCCCCTGCACTGAGCACCTTCACGGTGCTGGGAGGCAGCTTAGATTTGCCCTGGCACAGGCAGGAAGGCTGCTTGCACTTCTATGAGAAGCAGGAAGCAAAGATGGTTCCTGCAGCCTTGCGCTGCCAATTTAACGAGGAGCAAAGCTTAAACCTTGCAATCGTTACAATTTTAGGTAAAAATAAGCTGTTGGGGGTGTGATATCTGGCTGAGAAGCACTCAGGTTTATCATCTCTTGCCAGCTCTGCTTTGAGGTCATTTAAGCTCGTTGTCTGTTTCCTGTTTGCAGAATGCACTTCCCATGGTGTCACCTGTGAATGCAAAGCACTGCGTGCCCTCAGAGCTCAGCATGGCCTCATTTATGAGGCAGGGAGCAGCTGAATGCCTTAATTCTGCATGGAAGGAAAACTAATCCGTGTCTTTCTCCTCTCCCAGGCCCGAGCTGGAATCATTAGCACTGTAGAGGTTCTGAAAGTGATGGAAGCGTTTGTGAATGAGCCCAATTACACGGTGTGGAGCGACCTCAGCTGTAACCTGGAGATTCTCTCAACCCTCTTGTCCCACACAGACTTCTATGAGGAAATCCAGGTGTTTGTGAAAGATGTCTTTTCACCAATAGGGGAGAGACTGGGATGGGACCCCAAACCTGGAGAGGGTAAGAGAACTCAGCGTTGGGTTTCACGGTGCGGTGTTGGGTTTTGGAACAAATAAGCCATCAAAATGTTGGGAAACAGCAGAGAAGGGAGGAAGAGGAAGGGCTGAGGAAGGCACTTGGGGGTGTTTTTATGTTTGAAAAGCCAAACACAAAGCCTCCAAACAACTCTGTTCTCTCAAGTGCACGTTAAAATGGTGAATGTTTCCCTGTGCAGTCAGTGGTTGGTTTAAGAACCTCTGCTGTTGCTTTGCATCTATCAGAGTGCACCAAACTTCTTAGGCTGTCGGGCTGGGAGGCCACAGATGGTCCCAGTGCAGATCCAGCAGGTTGGTTGTGATCACCAGACCGCAGGCAGAGCGTGCTGTGTTGGCTCTGGGATTTCATCCTCCTGATCCTCTTGCTGTTTAAAAGCTAAAATATTCCTCCAGTGGCACTGAGGAGAGCTGGAAAGTCCTGATTTCTTTACATAGCCCCTCATTTGCAGAAGGATTATTTGGTAGCTTATCGGTGGAGGTGGAAGAATCAAAGAATGACATTTCTTCATTCAGTTGTCTCCAAATAACTGTTCTCTCCTACCGACCAGGTCATCTCGATGCCCTTCTGAGAGGTCTGGTGCTGGGCAAACTTGGCAAAGCCGGGCACAAGGCTACCTTGGAAGAAGCCCGACGTCGGTTTAAAGACCACGTGGAAGGAAAAAACATCCTGTCAGCTGACCTGAGGAGTCCTGTAGGTTATCAGGGGGTTTGGTTCCCAGCTGCACTGGCACAGGAACGCCTCTGGTCTCTGGATGGTGTTGGTTTTAGGGTCTGGATGTGGGTTTTGTGTGCCTGAAGCGCCCGCCGTCAGCGCGTGGTGCAAAGATTTCTTGCTCTCTTGTTTTGCTGAAGCTGAAATTAAGGAAGAGGGGTTGGCAAAGTCGGCCTGGAATTCAGTGCTGAAACAAAAGGGGGCAGTGCAGCCACCTTCCAGCTCTGCTCACCCGTTTGAAATCCAGCCCCAACACATCACAGCTGTTTGTTGCACAGCCCCTTTCCCCACGGTGAGCTTTGCGTTCCCCAGGTGCGATGTGTGAAGGCTGTCTTTGTGCTTCTCTCCCAGGTCTACGTCACTATTTTGAAGCATGGAGACAGCACTACTTTAGACACCATGCTCAAGGTGAGTGCAGCCCCTTCCTGCACACAAGCAGCTTGTGCATAGAAGGGAAGAACGTCCCACCCTGTGGCTGTGTTGACTGAGGTGGAGTTTGGGGTGCTGAGTTTTGGGTGCTGCTGGGCCCGCTGGGGTGGTGAACAGAGGATGATTCAGCCTTAATTGAGCTCCTTGGTCCTCGAGCGGTGTGAAATTGCCACCTAGTGGATTGCTGCCTCTCATTTTAGGATCATTTCCCGTTGCTCAGAGGCACGGTTCTACTTGGCCTTAGATAAAGTGGTGATCAGCTTGTTGCTGATGGTGCTTTGTGCTCGTGTGGAGCGAGGCCCCTCGTGTAGATAACAGCCATGTTATTCACAGCCAGGCTCAGTTTGTCACATATTGTGCTTAAAGACAAACCTAGCAGCCTATCCAGCAAGGTGAGCAGCACCAGGTGATGAGAGGAGGCCACTTCACATCTGTGCTAACGCTCTTTGCTCTGCCTTTCAAGCTTCACAAGCAAGCAGACATGCAGGAGGAGAAGAACCGAATCGAGCGCGTCCTCGGGGCCATCTCCCAGCCTGAGCTGATTCAAAAAGTTCTCACCTTTGCACTTTCAGTAAGTTATTGGAAAAGCTGCTGGTGGAGGCTGGGAGCTGCCAGAGCAACCTGGAAATGGAGCACAGGGGGTGGATTTGGGAAGGGTGCAGGGCAGAGGGGGGGACCGGCGGCCTCCCACCCCTCACTGCTGTGCATGCAGCCCTCAGTGATGTGTGAGAGCCCTGTGTGAGGCGCTGGGCTTTGTAACAGCAGAAATACACGTTCCTATGTCAGGTCATTGCTCCCATACCTGCCAGGCTGTTACTAGGGGGTAATGCAGCTTTGTCGAAGCTGATTTCTGCCTTCATTCGTGCCCTCGGTGTCTGTTAGCAATGTTTGTTCGTCCCCAGGAAGAGGTACGTCCCCAGGACACCGTGTCTGTCATCGGAGGAGTGGCTGGAGGCAGCAAGCAGGGGAGGAAAGCTGCTTGGAAGTTTGTACGAGACAACTGGGAGGAGCTTTATAATCGATACCAGGGTGGATTCTTGATATCCAGACTAATAAAGGTGCGTGGAGCACAGCTCTGTTAGCATGCAGGGCCCAGACTGGGTTATGTCTGAAATGCTGACTGCTTACCTTTGGTTTTCTGCTTGTTTTTCCCTGCAGCTGACAGTGGATGGGTTTGCAAACGATAAAATGGCGGCGGAAGTCAAGGTAAGAAACGTGATTTGTGGAGGTAATGGATTGAATTTGGGATGGGCACGAGCTGCTCTGAGCTGGGGGGAGCCACAGGTTTGGGGACCGTGCCTCTGAGTTGTGGGACTGTTGTGCAGTTCCTCAGTTGTGCTGCTTTGACTGTAACATCATAAATTAGTTCATTACGCAGCTCTTAACGATCCCCATTTCATTAGCTTTGCTCATTGCTACTCACATGGTAGACATGAGCTGGATTCCGTGCTGCGGGTCCAGGTTTGTGCCTTCAGTTGCGATGAGAGCAAGGGACAGATGAGTGTCTGCAGGGCTCTGCTGGGAGCTGCTGGCTCCCAAATCCCCATGGTGGGTGAGCACTGAGCCCTGGGGAGCCTGCAGGCTTTCTTTGCCCCCTGCCTGCAGTTTTATGGGGGCTCCTCAGTAGAAGAAACACAAAATCGTGGCCCTCATTTGTGGCTTTGCCATCAACCAAACACTGAGAAGGAATTGATGGTCAGAAGAGCCGTCGAGCCCCGTGTTGGCAGCGCTCAGCAATCTCTTCCCCTGAGGTTCGGGAGCAGCAGTGATGATGCAGAGAATTCTCATGCTGTCACTTTGCCCAACAGACAGCAGAGCTGCGATTCGTTTCCGTGATGGCTGCCCTGTGCCTTTGGTCAGCGTGTGTTGGGGTGGGGGTGAGGATGGGGTGAGAATGGGGTGAGGATGGTGGGAAGGGGAGGATGGCGCCCTGCAGGGCAGCTCGGCCCACCCCACAGCAGTGCATTCAGCTGGAGCCGTGGGCAGGCGATCCAGGCTGGCTGTGGCTCTGGCCGCCTGCTCTGCTGCTCGGTGCCCCTGCACGTAGCAGGGGGGGAAGGTTGGAAAGCAGGTGATGGCGGCGGTCCTTTGTCAACCCGGATCTGTGATAGAGAGGTGCTGCAGGGATGAAGGCGAGAGGTCGTGCAGCGCCCAGAGCTCGCGGTGCAGCGGTGCTCAGAGACGAGGATACGTGGAGCAGCGCTTTGCTTGGCCAGAACGGCCCCCTTAGAGCCTTTTTGTGAGCACTCAGAAACGCACGCTGGGTTTGCTGCCCCGAGGGCGAGGACGGGACAGCGATGGAAGCGGAGCCGGAGAAACCCCGCTCCTGCCCATAGAAACCCAGGAGCTCGGGGGGAGGCTTGCAACCCCCTGCTGAGGCCACGGCGCTGTGCTTTGTGTGCAGGCTTTCTTCGAGAGCCACCCGGCGCCGTCGGCGGAGCGCACCGTGCAGCAGTGCTGCGAGAACATCCTGCTGAACGCCGCCTGGCTGAAGAGGGACAGCGAGGACATCCATCAGTTCTTCCTGCAGAGGAAGGGGCCGCCCCCCGCCACGGCCTGAAGCCGCGCCGCCGCTGAGCCCCACCGCCTCCGTGGGGGGGGGGAAGGAAGGAGGAGCCGCTGCCCCGCGGCCCATCGATACGCCAAGAATTCGGAGTCTTTTTATCTCAAGCGGACGGGGATTGGACTGAATGTAGTGAAGTGGTTCCTGCTCACACTCCAGAATTAAAATTGGATGAAAATTAATCGCGATTCAACGAAAAGAGGGGGAGAGGAGAAAGAGAGAGAAAAAGGAAAAAGGAAGAGAGAGGAAAAAAAAAAAAAAAAAAAAAGGAAAAAAAAAATCTGTAAATATGATAGTAATAAAATAGAGCATAACAAAACTGTGAAACTTCCTCCAGCCTTGTCGGTGGTCACAATATTTAACAGCCCCTCCTCGTTGGCAGATTTTGGTGGATTTTGTTTGGTTTTCTGGTTTTTTAATGCCCTCCCCCCCCCCCCCCTAAAAAAATAAAGAGGAAACCAGCAGAGCGAGGTCAGCAGAATTCGGGGCAGGAGAGGCTGGGCGCTCGGAAGGCAGGAGGCCAAACAGCTCCCAGCCCCCAGCACGAGGTTTGGGGCAGGAGATGCTCTCACAACCCCCCCCCCCCCGCCCCACGGATCGCAGGCTCCCCCTTTTTTGCGTTACCTCTCAGCAGAAAGAAAACCCTCCTGCCGCTCTCTGCTCCTCGGTTCCACTTTGCTGACGTCCTTTAGAGATAACGGGCTCGGATGGAAACATCTTCCACAGCCGCCTTCCACGCCATTCAGTCTCTCGTCCTTTTTCCTCCTGCCCCCCCTGCATGCCCTCGGGCGGCGCTTTGTGCCCGGCCCCCGCTCTGCTCCGCGTCCCCACTCCCAGCCCGTCCCACCTCCTCGTAGCAGCAGTAGCTTCTCGTTCCTCCCTGTGATGCCGATGGTCATTGGATTCAGAAGCCTTAAACGAGCGCTGATGAAGCCTGAGCTGCGTTTCCTTGGCACGGGCTGCTCACCGACACGACGCCCTGACAAAAAAAGGTTGGAGCTCCGTACGGATTTTTTTTCCCTTTAACAAGAATTCATCTTTGTTGTGGCTTCACTGTACTTCAGAAGGTCAGCAGACTGTCAGCCCGCTTCCCCCAAAACATTTTTGTGCTCTTGTTTAAAGAAACAAACAAAAAACCCAACCAACCCAACAGAAAAACCACAACCAAAATTCCAAACAAGTTGGCGTTAATAAAAATGTCAATGTGAAATTCGTCTCCTGGGCTCTTGTTCTTTCCTAACCCTGCCGCCAGGCCCTGCGATGGCTGCAAGCCCCCACCTCTGTCCTGAGCCGCTTCCCCTGCTGCTTTCTGTGCCTGCGCTGCTGGGCCACAACCACGGCGTGCTGGCTGTGCAGCTTGGCCTCGGGCTCCAGCAGGAGCCAGGACAGAAGGTGGGAGGCACAGGAATGGCCCTTTTTGTCCCAATGGTCCCCGTTCTGTTCGCTGCTGCTTTTCCCTCCCGTCAGCACTGCAGAGCCAAAGCGATTTCAGAGCTGTGAGCTGATTTCCCTTCTGCTTTGTGCACGCGGACAAAATAACACAGGGTGATTTTGGCCTGAGCAGCGATGGGTGAAATGAGAACAAGCGCGGCTGTGAGTTGAGGTGGTTTTTGTTTTTTGCTTCAGACGACGCCAAGACCTGAGAGCAGCTGAAGGAAAGCGACAAAAAGACAAAATGTTTTTTCTTTAAGTGTTGACCCCGAGTTCTGGGGGAGCCCTGAGGTGTTCTCAGGGAATCTGTGGCAACAGTGGAGCTGGGGTGCTGCTGGTGGAGGCTGGGAGCTGCCAGAGCAACCTGGAAATGGAGCACAGGAGGTGGATTTGGGAAGGGTGCAGGGCAGGGGGGGACCGGCGGCCTCCCACCCCTCACTGCTGTGCATGCAGCCCTCAGTGATGTGTGAGAGCCCTGTGTGAGGCACTGGGCTTTGTAACAGCAGAAATACACGTTCCTATGTCAGGTCATTGCTCCCATACCTGCCAGGCTGTTACTAGGGGGTAATGCTTCACCCATCGGGCAGACAGGTGGACGTGGAATTGACTGGGAGCAGCTCAGGATCTGTTTTACCCTCCTGAAACACCCGGATTTCAGACCCGTGTGCAGCACGTGTGGAATGGCAGCAGTGGGGAGGCAGCAATGAGGTCGCGGTGATTCCCACAGCTCAACGCTCCGCATCCACATCGCAGTGCGACGCCTCGACCCTTGTGAAATTCGTGCTGTGGGTTTGTGATAATTTGCAGTCCAGCAAAAATGTTTGGGAGCGAAAGGCAGAGGATGGAGCCCCGTGCTTCAGCACCATCTGCTCTGCTGGGTTGGAGCTCTGGTGGAGCGGAAGGCCGTGCTGCTGCTCACTGAGACCACAGCATCACAGAATGGTTTGGGTTGGAAGGGATCTCAAGGATCACGAAGCTCCAGTTCCCCCCACTGCATGCAGGGCCACCAACCTCCCCATTTCACAGCAGCCCAGGCTGCCCAGAGCCCCATCCAACCTTGAACACCTCCAGGGATGGACGGGGCATCACAGCCTCTCTGGGCAGCTGCTCCAGCACCTCACCGCTCTCACAGCACAGAACTTCCCCCTGACATCCAACCTCAGTCTGCCCTCCCTCAACTTCAAGCCATTTCCCCTTGTCCTGCTGCCATCTCCCCTTTCCAAGAGTTGACTCCCCTCCTGTTTGTAGGCTCCCTTTAGGAGCTGGAGGCTGTAATCAGGTCACCTCTCAGCCCTCTCTTCTCCAGGCTGAACGAGCCCAGCTCCCTCAGCCCGTCCAGACCAGAACAGGCTGACAGCTGGGCAGAGAAACGCGATGGGTTTCAGCGTGGGCAGCACACGAAGGGTTCTGCAACAGGGGAGGAGAAACCATCAGTGCGATTTGGGGCTGAGCTGCTGGGAAGGAGCTCCGCGGGGAAGGAGCTGGGAGTGCCGGGGGCCACGAGGTGACGGTGAGCTCACGGTGCGACCCAAAGGCCAACGGGAGCCGGGCTGCGGGCAGAGCAGCTGCAGAACTGCGCCCAGATCCGGGAGGAACGGGAAGCGCTGGGAGAGCTGCGGGCTCAGGGCCTTTTTGAGCACGGACCGGAAGGGAGAGCGGAGCCGCCCGCGTTGGGTTCAATGCCGGCCGCGGGGCAGCGCGGTGCCCTCGGTTTTGCTCCCCGCGCCCAAGCCAAACGCGGCGCTTCCGGGCCGGGCCGCGGCACTTCCGGTCGGCGCCGCTCCGCGCGGATTCCCACCCCCCTCCGCGAGCCCCCCACGTGGCCGCCTCCCCCCGCTCAGCACCGCCGCAGCCGCCGCCGGGGCGCCCTTCGCGGCGTCGCCCAATCAGCGCGCGGCGCCGCCGGAAGCCCCGCCTCCTCTCTTCCTCCCCGCGGCCCGCCAACGCCCTCCCCCCGGCGCCGAACGACCAATAGGAACGCGAGCCGCCTGCCGGCTCCCACCAATCGGCACGTCGGCGCGGGGCGGCGGGCCGCGGCCGTGGTATCCCTCCGCCGCTCGGTGTGCGCGCGCGCACCGCTCCGCCCGCGCGGCCCTTTTTCTCCCTCCGCCGCCGCCGCCGCCTCCCGCAAAAACCGGAGCGCCGCCGCCCCCCCCGCCCCATCGCTCCCCTCCTCCCTTCCCTCCACCGCTCCGGAGCCGCCACGCCGCCGCCATGGAGCTCATCACCATCCTGGAGAAGACGGTCTCGCCGGGTAAGGCCGCGCGCTTCAGGCCGTGCCGGGGGTGCGGCGCTCCCCGCTCCGTTCCCCCTCCCCCCCTCCCCCGTTATCCTTCTCTCTTCGATTCCCGCTGACCGCCCCCCCTCCCCCCGCAGACCGCTCGGAGCTGGAAGCGGCGCAGAAGTTCCTGGAGCAGGCGGCGATCGAGAACCTGGTGAGTTCCGTCGGTTCCTCCCAGCCGCGCCGCCGCCATCGCGGCCCCCACCCCCCCTTCCACCTCCCCCATCCCCATCCCCTCCCCCCCCCCGGTTCGGTTCCTCCCGCGCCCGCTCCGCTCGGCTCCAATGGCGGCGCTCCCGGCGGTGGCGGCGGCCAATGGGGGCGCGGCGGAGGGGAGCGGCCGGGCCACGTGCGGCCATCGCAGCGCCGGGGCCTTTCCGGGCGGGGCCGCGCGGTACCGAGGGTTGAAAATACGGCGATATCCGCCCATCCCGGAGCCGTGCGGCGAAGGGAGCGACGTGCGGCCGTCCCGGTCATCCGGTGCTGCTGTTGCGTGGAGCTCCCGTTGTACTGGGGAGGGGATCTGCGATCCTATAGAGCGGGGTTGCTTTGGGCTGGGCTGCGCCTGGGGTCCCGGCGTTGGGGGGCGTTGGGGTCGCAGCCGGAGCTCTGGGGCTGCCGTTTTTGCCCCCCTTCCCCGTGTTTTCCTGCGGGAATTGACCTTAAAGCTCTGTTAAAACACTCCAGAGGGGGAAATGGAAAAGCTTTTGTGGAGCTGTAGGGTTTGAAGGCTGTTCCCTTAAAGGCAGCAGCAGCAACGTGTTCATTTCACCTCTGTTCCTCACCTTTAAGCCAGGCTCATCATTTGAGATATCCCCCCCCCACTGGGGGGCAGCCCTCCATAGGGGCTGTGCTCAGAGCTGGGACCCCTCAGATCCACCCCACTCCTCTCCCCACCCCACAGCACTCCATCCTTCCTTGGGGAAGCATTCCCAAACCTCTCCTTTTGGAAGGCAGCGGGACAAAACCTCACAGAGCTCTGCGAAACATCGCATCTCCTCCTCTTGGAAACAAAGCTGACCCCCAAAAGCAGCAATTCCCGCTGCCCCTGGCTCTGTGTGCCCCTCGCATCCCATTGCGGGGAGCTGAGGGCTGTGCGGTGTGCAGCTGCATGGTGTTTATGTTTGGGGAAGCCAAGGCTTCTGGCTGTTGTGCAGCTGTGCTGCCTAGGAAGGTTTCCTTGGGGGGCAGAGCGCATCCTGCAGCCGGATCAGCGCTCAGGTTTTGCTGCTGGGGGTTCTGCAGCATCAACCCGCTGCGTGCTTATGGGGTTTTGGTGCCACGGGAGCCAGGAGGTGGGGGTGCAGCAGCCCTCGCTTTGCCCACCTCCATCCCGCGGGGAGGAGCGGAGCATCCATCGCTGTGCTGGGGTTTGGCCTTTGCCTCCAAGCAAGGGGACAAAATAACGCTGCTCCCCAGCGCTGGAGCCCTGCAGGCCGTTCAGGCGATGCTCGGCGCAGGGTTGAGCGAAGGAAGGCCGACGAAGCGCCGCCGTCCTGCGGGGGTCCGGTGGGGGCCGGGGGTCTCAGCGCCTTCCTCTCCTCCTCCCGCAGCCGACCTTCCTGGTGGAACTGTCCAGAGTGCTGGCCAACCCCGGCAACAGCCAGGTGGCGCGGGTGGCAGCCGGCCTGCAGATCAAGAACTCCCTCACCTCCAAGGACCCCGACATCAAGGCTCAGTACCAGCAGCGATGGCTCGCCATCGACGCCAACGCCCGCAGGGAGGTCAAGAACTACGTGAGTCCTTCCTTTTTATTCCCCGTTTGGTTTTGAGCCCGTCGGATTCTCTCGGGTTTGATGCCCTCCTTGCGTTGTGCCCAAGGTTTCTGGCTGCTCCTTCCTTCTCAAGGCAGCAGCGCCGTCTCGCTGTGCTCCCGTGCTCTGCTGTCGTCTGTGGAAGCGTTGGGGTGAAAACCAGGCAGGTGTGAGGCTGCTGCTTTTCCATTTGCTTTATGCAAGTGCTCCTGCAGCCAGATCTCTGAATGGCCGCTGCTGGAGCAGTGGGCACAGCTTCCCTGCTCCGTGGCTTCTGCTGGCTTTCTCCATCCAGGAGAACTGGATGAGATGGAGATGGAGAACTTCAACTGCCCTCCAGTCCCTTGTGAGCGCCTTTGAGCTGTGCTCTGTGTGAGCCTGCGTCTGCACAGGGCCTGGTGGACTTGGAGTTGGTGGGATGTGCTCATGAACAGGTCTGGAAAGGGCAAACCTCTCTGGGGTACAGATTTTGCCCAGGGGCCGGGATCCACTTGGTGGGTAATGCAGAAGAATGGGGATGTTCAATGTGTCCCACGAGGGGAGTTGATGCCGGGGGAGTGCAGTTGGCAAATCCCAAGCAGGGAGCAGCATCCTGCTGTCTGTGATGGCCTGAGGACCCCTGAGCAAGCTGGGGGTAAAACCCCAGGGCTGGCAGTGACACAGGTGGTGCCTGAGGTCTTTCACCTGATGGGAGCACAGGCGTGCAGGGCTGTGTGGCTCTGCGTGGAGCTGATGCAAGATTTATGC